CTGGCAGTACACCGTGATCTCGTAGATTTCGTAAGCTTGCTTCGTTATTTTGTTGATAATTCGCGATGAAGTCGAAATTATTGTTCTCACAACCTGCACACTGTGTAGCCATGATGGAACTGATTTGAATTTTAACCGCTTTCTCCTAGGCCCAGCTACTATTGTCACGTGATAATCTATTCCATATCTGATTGGTTCTATTCAGTGTCTATGTTCACGTCACGTTCACGCACGAATCTAATTGGCTCATTTGATTTCCCTCGCATGCGTCATCCGCTACCAATCCGTCCGATTTTTAGTCGATCTTAACGACTTTTTGTCGTTTTGTCGCGGAGCTGGAGGCGTACTACGGCCCCTGGAAATCGTGAATTTTAGACCCTCTATAACACCGTTATTATCAATTTGCGAAGAAAATGTATAGAAGAAAACTTTCATAGAATGATGTGTTCTACCATACGGTAAGCTCAATTTCTTTCAATTAGGTGGGGTTGCATTTCCAATAATAATCAACATAGGCATCAGGAACCTATGTTTTTTCACTTAATGTATTTTAAATCATATAATGAATGGTCAAACAACCCAGATTATATTAATGAATTGTTTTGGTAATAAGTTCATTGCTGAGTAGACAAAAAAAATAAATAAATAAAAATAAATAAAATAAATAAATAAATAAATGAATAAAGATGGCCCATACACTACAAATATTGTCAGACTTCTTCAAGAATTGCTTAACGATGATGAAAACGTCAGATTAACTTAATATTTCAAAAGATCCTAAAGAAAATGACAAAATGTTACAGAAGTTATCCCCAGCTCTCGTAATGTTTCACCCAGAGGCTAGATTTACGGCACTTCCTGTTGCACATGCTTATCAATGTATTTTTCACGGTGCCGTAATCCAAAATGGGTTGGCTATCTCTACGGTGCTTGCAGGCCATTTTTACCTTGGTGTTCCTAAGACATTGTGACACAAGTCCACCTCTGAGGACAACGTACCTGGGATATCTCATGGTTATGGTTTTCTGCTGAACTTATACATTTCACGAATAAATGCTTCCCTTCTTTTACCACTCGAATTTGTATTGTGAGAGGGCAATCCTTCTAAAAGGTACTAAAGTGAAGAAATGGATTGTAAACAATGACTACCGCTAACATTGCATAGGCATTATTGGCTGACCCATTTATTTACTGCGATGTATTTACTGAGGTGTGCTGCCCGGCTGAGGTAGACCTGAGCCCACTTGCTCCCTTAGTCATTCTATTTACTCATGACGGAGTTTTCCGCGGATTTCATGTATTGTTGTAGCTAAAGCTAGGTACAATAGGCACCCTACACTTCTCTGTACATAAATGTACTGCTGCTGCCGTGCAGGAGAGAGCACACACACAAAACTACCACTACTGTACATTGCAGCCCTAGGCCCGACGTGGAAGGCTTGTAAATCTCAGCAGTTCATGATATTTATGAATATGAAGAACACATCGACTTTGACATTATTTTACCTCTGATTTGGGTGCTGGCCTTTAGACTTTGACTTTAACCTTCTACCGCCAGGTATACAGGCAAAAAAAATCTCTCTTAACTTCAAACATTGCTCCAATCAAGGGACATTTCACTAACCAAGATAGCATACGAAATTTCCGGAAATTCCGAAATCCCCCTAAAATTTACTAGGATTTCCAGGCTTCTAGACGGATTTGTCAGGGATTTTCAGAGTTCTTATGGATTTCCAGTTTTAAAAGACGTTTAAAAAACATCGAATTATCGTAAATGTTTCTAAAACTAAACTGTTATTAGTTGTTACCTTACAGGTTTCACTTGAAATGCTTAATGTTACTGTAAGCCTTCGGATAAAAAATTCTCGATATTTCATTTTCGTCAACATATATGGATTTAGTATTAATCCATAAACCTCTCTCAGAAATAGCACAATTTTAGCATTTTAAAAGAGCAATGTTTCTGAAAATTGCGAGAATAGACGATAGGGGAATAAAGTAAACTCAATTGACATTGCAGCTACATTCATAACATCCTGAGGTGCTAGTTTAACGATATAAGCCTTTACCAAGACCGGGATTGTCTTATTGCTTGACTTACGAAATTTTGCTAGAAGACTGCTTTCCCAAAAAGGGATTTTGTAAAAAACATAACTATGAAATCCGCTTGTCCGATTTTTAAAAAAGTTTGAAAGATAAATAAGGCATTTTAGACATTAATATTAATTTGAAATGACAGTATTTTAAGACAGCCCGTTATATATATATATATATATATATATATATATATATATATATATATATATATATATATATATATATATAAAATAGTCACGGTTTTGTAGTTTAAGACCTGAAGTTTGCTGATGGGGGTACACACACTTCTTCGGGAAAGCTCCTGCGCAGCGGCCTTCACAGAGCACTCTGCCCTTCAACTACTCAGGTGTTGAAGTTTACAACACTTTTTTGCCGATTTTTAAAGACCTCTTAAGTACTAATATCAAGAATTTGTAAAAGATTGCTGCAAGTAGAATATTTGCGAGATTTTAGGGTTCATGAGATTCCCTGGAAATTTCCGGATTTCCTAAGAATTTTCAAGGATTCCCGGGTTTCTTTGGATTTTCAGATAGGGTGGATTGGATTCCCGAAGTGAAATGCCTCTCGGCTCGAATGACCTTTACGGGGCTTGTTTTGAACTAGCTTCGACTGATCGAGAACTTGTGTAAAGGCAAACATAATTCTTCTCTTCCTACTTTTTCAAAGCGCTGAAAAAAAGACTTAAAATCGGCAAACTTTGCGCCAACAAACTATATCGATGTCGTCCATATTTCATTTAATTTTTCAAAGTACGAAAACCGAAGTGGGCATGCGCAACAGGAATGAATCACGGTGAAAAATTAATGCTTGTTCAGATTTGTATTAAAAGTAGATCATGGACATTGAGCATGCGCAGTAGAGATCTGGATTAAACTAAAACAGGATAAACTTTTATGGCGCCTACAGACGTGGCTAATAGACAGAATTCTACAGTTTATAGATGGTTTGTAACTCATTTACGTGATGTAAAAGCCACAAAAGTAGATAAGGATAATAAAAAACAATCAGAGAAACCACACTGTTACCTTTGCAAAGCTAATAATAAACTTGATGAATGGAAAGAGATTAATAAGCTTGATAATAAGGCAAAATTCCTTTATGTTTCAAAAACGTGTCTTTGCAGAGGTTGTTTAAAACATGATCACGTTATTAAACACTGCAAAAAAGAGAGACGTCATCTCTTCATGAGGGTATACTTGAAAGAAAAAAAGAAAATAAGCCCTACTAAAAATGGGAACAGGAAGGTGGAAAAAAAAAACTGTAACATTGCCAAACTAACCCAGTATAATCAAGGGCAATGTTATCTCCTGCTAAATTGATGGGAAACAAAAATAATGCATAAGAAAGTCAGAGTAACATGCATTTCATGATACGACCAGTATGGATACATAATGGAAGTAATACAGGTAAAAATACACTAGCCTATGCATTATTGAGTGAGCAGTCAGATTCATGTTTTATTAAAGGGTCCACCATGAATGAACTAGAGATTCAGGGCTCCAAAGTACACCTGAAGTTAACAACAGTGACAGGTGAAGAAACATTGAAAACATAAAGACTAAAGGACTGGTAGTATTTGGTATAAATTGAGAAATATGTTGTAGTACCTTTTTGGCAGTATTTATAGATCATCTTTTCAGCATTTGACATTATCTTCATAGCACATATTAGTCATATTACTCTCACATATTTAACTTGTATCATTTAGTTGAAATAAGAGTGAGGAAAATCTAACTAAATTTAGAAACTGTATACAATATTCATTAATCAAATGTGATTATTTAGCCAATATCCAAAGCCAATTACAGAAACTGATATGTCAGTAACAAAACAATTGATTTCTTTATAATCCACTACAATATCTGCATCAAACTGAATATGCAGTTTTAAACATAAAGTTTACAGCTTTTCAATTAAAACAAACATGCAAATAAAGTGTAAATTGATTTCAAGCAAACTGTTATTAACTACAAAATAAGAACAGGCAATTTTAGTACTTAATATGATATGCCATCAATAAAAGAATTTCTCACATAGTCACTGAAATCATGTAAAGTAATTGTTTCTATTAATTAGTAAACAAATTGTCTTAAAGAATTAGTGGAATTAACCATCACGTGTCATCCTCTGTCATATGATGATTTCACGGGTCATGGTGCTTCTTTTTTTTCTTTTTTTTTCGTAACTGCATCTTGTCCTGTTTGCCGCTTGAGTCCTGGAGATGTTGTTCTGTTTTTGTAGTCTCGTCCCAGCTTGCTTGTTTCGCCCGTCCATATGGCATCCACTTTGCCCTCCTGTGATGATGGGTGATGCTTAATGCCTTTGTATTTCTACGACAGATAGAGGTTGCACTTCCAGCCACTTCTTCGCGGAAAGGTGTGCCAGTCAGACGCGACCAAATTCCGAGCCAGAAAGTGTAAAAGGGTGGCCTCCTTTACCAAGAATAGCAACCAACTTAACGCCATATGATAGAAGGATTTAAGTTGGACTCCCGATTGGTTTGAACTGTATCGTGCCATCCAGTTAATTCTTGGGAAAGATGACGAGCCTTGTGCAAGAACTTTGCTTTGCTGGAGTATCATAGGAAGGGTCAGTGACGATTGTCAAGACACAAGTGACTCAGGTTGTCTTAATAAGCAAAGTAATAGCCAATACGGTTATCATTAATAGAGATACAAAATGTAGTTTGTTTGTTTTTTTCCTCACCAACAAAGCAATTAATCAACTGCAAATATAAACCCTAAAAACCTAATGGCCACTGCCTTACCAGCAGGGGCGGGTCCAGAGAATTTTCTGGTGGGGGCACAGGAGGTAACAACAATAAATTTGGGGGGGCCGCCCAAAAGAAACAAAAAATTAACACTGCCCACATCAATATTTATATTGTACAGTTACACATTGTTTATATTTTCATCTTGCTGTGTGAGTATTATATATCATTATATGTTAATATTATATATTTATATATAAATATTATATATAAATATATATTAATATATAAAGGGTCAATGACTCTTGGGTGGGGGGCACACGGAGGGGCCATTCAGATTGCAGAGGGGGCGGGTGCCCCCCTGTGCCACCATGGAAGACCCGCCTATTTGAGCCCACATTTAGTGGCTCAATGGCCTCGTTAAAGGGAGCTTCTCAGTTCAACGGCGCTGCAGAAGGCGATGAGGTGCGAGGAAGGCTGTTGCGTCGTGAGAGGCGCCCTTCTCCACGCCGAGGAGGTTGTTCAGCTGCAATGGGGGGACAGGGGGGGGGGGTAGTCGGTTATAGGAAGAATCATCATTGTTTATATATACCTTTCTCAGCTAGAGGACAGGTAAGGTTATTCGACACACACACACACACAGATATATATATATATATATATATATATATATATATATATATATATATATATATATTATAATATATATATATATATATATCTGTGTGTATGTGAGTGGATGGATGAATGGATGAATGAGTGAGTGAGAGAAGTAGATTGTCAGATATACATACATCGATCTATTTCTCAACCAATCTATCTCTCCCTTTCTCTCCTCTCCTACTGCCTCACCTGCTGCACGAAGCTGAGGAACCTCGGGTCGGTGTCCTTGATCCCCATCTGCAGCATCGACGCCTTCATCTCCTCGGCGCTGCGCAGGAAGGAGCTCTGGCGTCTGGACTTGAGCGCCTTCGTGAGGAAGGTGACCACGGTGACCCAGTAGCCGAGCCCCGTCATGATCCACACGATGACGAAGATTTGGTACACAACCCGTGCCCAGCCTTCTTCTATCTCATATCCTAAATAAGACAGTGTTGCATGTGAGTCATAAGTAGATACGTGCGCTTACTCCTCACACTATCACCTTATGCAGTCCATATATCTACTTTGCGTTTGTCATCATAAACGAGCGAACGATAGTGTCCCTGAGCTGGACAAAAAAATAGGGAATTACTTCGGCAAGACACGATCACCATGATGACAATTCCCATCAGTTTTGCAAAACAAAATTTAGTCAAACATAAAAGACGTTCTTTATTTTCCCGACACTTTTCATTATTAGTAAGGCCGGGTTCTTGCGAATTCAAATACCTTACTAATAAACCTAATGCCATCTCATTTTGGAGCTGTAAGCCATGCGTTGAACAGCGGGTTGACATCCGAATTCGTTTTATCTAAGTGACTCCTGATTCGAGGCCCACTGCTACGATTCATGCTTGAGGCTCAACATTTAAGGCAGTGTCCCTTGCTAGCATGTATTGCAAAAAGACTCACATGAAAGGTTGCAATGAAGCTATAGACAAATCACCAAAACAATCGGTATGTAAAGCAAGCTGGGTGAATTGCGACCGCAGCCGGCAAGGCAAGTCCTTTCTTCACGTCGCTCACCAACGACGTGAAAAGCAAGCAAATGGCGTGCAAGCAACCTGCCGATGCTCCTGAATCGATGCTGCAATACACAAGGACGAGCATTTTGCGTTTTTTCCCGTACCTACGGCGCCTCTTTCTCAGATAGGACCCGCTAACACCTTTTCCCATATAACCAGACGGCACAGTCCTGTATACAGCACAACCAAGGGCTATTCTAAATCTATGAATAAACCGGTAGCGACATCGTCTACCTTACCAGTTACCAGGTCTCCGAAACCGACTGTAGTCTGCGAGATGACGGCGAAGTAGACGGAATCCAGGTACGACCAGTAATCAACGGCTGCGAAAATTCCAGCCGGAATTAAGATGAACACCACGAACCCGATGGCGACGTAAATCAGGGTGAAGAGGGCGATGAACTTGTCGGTTTGCTGCTTCTTTGCGTCCAGCTGGAAGGAAGGGAGAAAGTGACGCACAAACAGACATTTGAGTGGCAAATGCAGCTATAGAAATAAATACACACTCCCGTCACATATACACCAATACAGATACATTTACACCACCAATCGCCTTTACTCGCACACACACATACAGACACACAACGAGGCTTTCGGAACAAGATAATACGCCAGACGACGTCTCGTGCCGTGGGGAAAAGCCGCGGTGGCGTGACTTAAATCATTATCCAATTATAGAAAACACTTCATAACGTGGAAAGGATATAAAAACGGGCAAATGAAAAGACCTAAGGCAAAACACTAAATAAAAGAGACCTGGCATAAAAAATCGTTACACGGACGTTGCCGCGTCGTGGTGGCCGGGCGAGGGTCGGCCACGTGGCTCGGCCTGCCTGCCTTTGTGGCAACTCGGAAAAAAGAAGGTACCGAGAGCGATACTGAGAGGCAGAGAATGGAGGTCACGAAATGAAAATGTTTTCTCTCGGTTTGGAAATGGATTTAGAAGATATGAAAAAATCATAGAATTATACTGAATAAAGACATTGTACTTCCAGTAAATATTAGATTTTCGATTTGATTATCAGATTATTACCATGAAAATATTACTAATGCTATTATTACTACGGTTCTCGCAGCCACTGTAATCATAGCAGTCTGACATTACGACAGTAATAAGGATGATTTTAACGGAAGTCATCAACATCAACTGCTTCCATGCTTGGACGACTGTAAGTAATAGTAGCGTCAGGAAAAAAACAACAAAAAAGCTGGGGTGATATTTCCTTCAAAAACAAAAACAAAAAATAAAAATGCAAATGTAATAATACTGCTGCTGTTGAGGGAAGTTATCCTCATTACAAATAATGTCAGAGATACCATTATTATTACCCCAAAAATCACTAAAGTTGCATGAAGATAACCTATTATGGAAATAATTTCACACCCATTCCAAAAAGTTCAGCCAATAAAATAATCTAGGTGGACTAAAACGCGGTAGTCCTATTTTTTACTGTTTTCTTTATATCGTTCCAAAACCTGTGCTACTCACGGTATAATAATAATAATAATAATAATACTGATAATAACATAATAATTGTAATAATGATAATAATTACATAATAATAATAATAATAATGACAATGATGTTATGATTTTTGTTAATATTACCACTTACTGCTATTAGCATTATCGTTACTATTTCGTGTTAATATTATCATCAGTTGTAATCTTGCTTTGAATGCCTGTCCAAAGTATTATGAAAATCAATGATCAATACACAACTAGTGCATATTTATATGCATTTAACAGTTGCATATTCGGGAATCACACTAGCAGGCCATTTGGAACAACCTAGGGAATTTTCTATCTACCTAAAAGAAAAAAAAAAACGAAATGGAGGAGTCTCTCACTCTCTCTCCTCTCCTCCTCTCTCTCCCTCTCTCTCTCTCTCTCTCTCTCTCTCTCTCTCTCTCTCTGTGTGTGTGTGTGTGTGTGTGTGTGTGTGTGTATGTGTGAGAGAGAGAGAGACTTCCTTTCCATGCAGGTTCATTTCCATATTCATGTGTACTCTCCCCCTATCACACACTACTAACCTTTGCCTTGAACAATTTGAAAAACTGTTCGCCGAAGAAGTCAGAGGTCCAAATCAGCATCACGCCGGTTAGTGGAATGCCTGTGACAGCATAGATTATGCACATGACTCTGCCCGCAGTTGTTATTGGATACTGAAACCCGTAACCTGGGGGAGGAAAGGGAGAGATGAGTATGCACGGTTGATGCGAGGACAGGGGAGGAGGACAGAAGAGGACTCAGGTAAGAGGAACAACTTACAACGTAGGAAACAAAATTGCGTTAGTGAAGATTTATTGTAACAGAAATCTACAGTCGCAGCATGATACAACTGAACGAGGTTATGAAAACCTGGTGGTTTGAAGTTACACGGGTGGTCATTAAAGGGTGAACTATTAACACTTTCACTAGTTAATTTAGCTCTAATAAAGAAGGTGGCATAGGACGGCCGCTTAAAGCCAAGAGCAGGTTCCCCGGGAGGAAGTGCCTGAGACGTGCGGAGACGAAGGGCGGCCAGACCCTCAGGGGGCTCTTGGGCCGCCAGGAGAGGCCAGGGGATGAAGTAGCCCGCTGGGGGATGGGTGACATGTGTGGCAGAGACATGTAGGTGGAGTTAGTGAAGATCATCGGTCACGTGGCCAGGCGGTGAGGGACTGAGCGGCCTTGAGCATCACGAAATGACTGGCGAGGCTTGGGAGAGGACAACCACGGCTCAGGAAGACGTGGGCTGCAAGTCCATGGGCCAGAACCGAACAAAGGAACCGGAGGAGCGCGAGGGGGAGGGGAGGAGGGGGCGAAGGGTGCAAAAAGAGAGGGCGCTGAAGGCTTTTGAATGTGACGCAGAAAAAATGCAAGGAATAAAGGAAGTGGATAAAAACGGGAGGAAACAAAGCGAATGATACTATTGAGATTTTTTTTTGCATCATTTTCTTCTATGTATATACATAACAATTAATAAATAAATATATCTCTGTATATATATATATATATATATATATATATATATATATATATATATATAATATATATATATTCTTTTTTGCCTGCCCAATCCCTCTTTTCTCTCTCCCATGATATACATTCATAATCTAATCTTAAGATACGATATCATTAAAATGAATAGAAATGACAGTAAAACTAATGTAGAAAGGCCTTCCTTGCCATAAATCAGAATTATACTCAAAACCCAATATGGCCGATTTTCACTCCATCTACTTTTACTAATGATAACAAAACGTCTAGGTATAGTCATGGGCTGCTACGTTCTATTGTTTTGTTTGATTTTAGTTTTCAAACACAACTCTACGTTGTAATGGCATCATACACAAGCCGAAGAAAATCTTGCAACTTTACTTTTTTTCCTACTAACTGCACTTTCAAATAATTTCGTCTACTTTTATATATATATATTCCTTTAAACATATCGGCTAACATATTTTTTCAATGTTTGGCTGCAGAGAAATTCCAAGCTGAATTTTCAATCTATTAATTATATATTTCCCTCTTTCGTGACAAT